CCCGTGAAAACCAAATTGATTTGCAAATGAGTGTATTTCTTGAAAACAGTGCAATTTGGGTTCAAGTAGATCATAAGGTCGATGGAAACTCGGGGACTGCGCCTACCAGATGAGCCCCAAGAAGGGCGAAACCAGTCGTGGGCTGTCGAAGGGTTTTCAGCAACCTTGTGAGTAGTTTCCTTTATGAAAATATACTGCGATACCTCGAATATCGTGCCAACTGAATCAGGAGGCGGCCTGTGTGCAGCACATTCAGCTGGAGGACATCGTAAACGAGAGATTCAATTGAGTTTCCCGTGAAAACCAAATTGATTTGCAAATGAGTGTATTTCTTGAAAACAGTGCAATTTGGGTTCAAGTAGATCATAAGGTCGTGGAAACTCGGCAACCTTGTGAGTAGTTTCCTTTATGTTTTGAGGGTACTTACATAGATTTTTGGGATAGAGGCTGAGATCCACTCAGGTCGAAATGTTTACGTCATTGTCAACTTTGAAGACCTAGTCTGAATGAACGGTGCTCAACACGAGTTCAAAAGTCGTATTAGCTTAATCTGAACACAGAGCTGTGGGTTAAGTAGCCAGATTCTAATGACCTCAGCAGTAAATGGCATCCTGAATTCAACTATTCTCGGTCGATTGTAAGGTATCTTGTGCTAAACTTAGTCTGTGTAATAATTCTAGACTTCACCTGGCATTTTTTCTCTCTTTGGGTGACCAGTTGCGGTCCCCACAAACCAGCGGGGGCGTTGGTTGAGAGACTGGTAAACCAAAGGGTTAACCTTATGTTTGTGCTTTATGGTTCCGATTGATTTACGAACCGTATCTCCAACCGTTATCCATTGTTTCACTCTATCTGGGGTGACCTATTGAGAAATACCCCAATTCAGCGAAGTGTTTGGAGTTTTTGACGAGAAAACTCACGTTCCTAGTCCACTGTGTCTTTCGAAAGGCGCACGTATGTTGCATCAAGCTCACCGATGCACCGTTCGCGCATGTAGGTGCACATTGAGTTCACCATCGCGAATCTTTTTGCCCCACTGGTTACGTTAATTCCGTTTTAGGCGGATAATCTATCGTCTTCAACAATGTCTCAAACTCAAGTAGATTGGACGTGCATAAGCGGTTTGCGAAATCTGGCCAGAAAATATTAAATTCAAGCATCCCCGTCGAGTTCCTTTGTTTTATTCCGATTGCATGAATGTCCTTCGTGACGTTGACCTACAAGTGCTGGATTTCCTGGGCATCCCGCATTTATTGTTCGAGAGTTTGTTCGTAATCATTTTGATCCGTACCTTCACTGTGTCTCGTGAAGTCGTTTGAAGGTTGCACTGTCCGTGTTTGGTGGTGTCAGTAATTTCCCTCAGTTCCCTTCATAACGCATTGTGTTTCCAAATGGATTGCCTGTTTTGAGCAGCCTGAATTTTGCCTCTTCCGGAGGTGACCCACCCTTCACTGAGACCCTTACACTACCACGTGTCACTTCGTTTAATCTAAAGCCGCTCCTCATGTACTTGATGGTTCTTTTCACTTGGGGGTGCATGAGGATCTGTCCCACACGGGCCATCAGTCGCCATGGTGTGAATCATAGTCATCGCTTAAGAACTTCCGCATTAGCCGTACGTATCATACTGTTGGGGACGTCAGATGTCTTGTTTTCGTATATGATGGCCGTTGCTCCAATCCACGCGTGATAGATTCTGAATACTGGAACGAGTACTCTTCTTTGTAGTCTAAGTGGACTCATCGTGCATGTGATTTCCTGATGGGTGTTGTTCGGTCGATTTTGGTGGTGTACAACTCTGCGTTGACTAACCGGCGACGAAACAGTACTGGTCAATTCTGCCTTGAAGCACCTGTGTCTGTCGGTATCTCGTCGACATTAGTTTTCAGTTTTCCATGATTGTTGTATCGCCCCACCTTCTGTTTTTGGGATTCAACGGTTTTCTCAAGCTTTGTGTAACAACCGTCTTTTTTTCTGTTGACTGCCCAATGTAGCCTCCATCTCAAGCACAACGAGATCGGCCGGTTCGTCTGACGGCGGTGCGGCTTCATATCGCTCGATTTGTCCACTATCTGTTCTTGGCAAAATCCGAAACCTTAGTCAAGGAACTACTCCGTTTAGACTTTTTGAATATTCTCATGGTAGGTGCTCATCCACTAATGCATTTTTTTATCGCGTAGATCTGCATTCAGATGACTTGCCACTTTTCTGCTTTTGTAATCGGTTTTTTTAGATGCTTGCAATTGTTTAGGTTACATGAAACGCAAGTTTTTTTGTATACTGAATGTAGACCAACTCTATCGTCCGAAGCCATTTATCAGCTGGCAAGAGTGTATTCTACCTTCTCTCGCATAACTGGGGCGTACAAAATTGAAGCCATTCCACTCGTTCAGCCTGATGCCCTAAACTGAACCAAAGTTACTGCGAACGACTTGAGCTTTTGATTTTACTAAATTGCGTCGGCATCACGTTGGTTTGTTTTCGTTCTCATGGTTGAATCTTCATTCAGTATTTGGGACTAGTGGTGTGCATCACGGAGTGTATGTTCTTACAGAAGTAAACACATCAGTGTTGATATAGCCAATGCATACCAGGTATGATAGCATTGAGCACCTTTGGTTTCGATCAAGGATCCACAGTTTCGTTTGCCGTCTGTTCATCGTTTCAAAACTAATCCGACTGATTTGGGGGCACCCGATGATCACCACCGAACGAACTTCACAGGATGTTCTTGTCCAAAAACATCGACAGATACGCATCATCTCTTTGAGATCCATCGTAAACAGTGTAGTGAAATAGGAAGTATGTGGGATATGACACCGCCTTTCTTGAACTGCCAAGACGCCCAGCTCATGCCCCAGGCTTCCACCATGTCCGGTTACTCCGAGATTGTTCTGGGGGTTGTTCTTGTCGCTGTCTTCTCATTTTTGTGCGTACTTTTGATTGTGTTCTACAGAACTCAGGTTACCTGCTGTTTTGGGGCCCAATACACAAAAAAGAAGGTCGAACGACCAGCTATCCTGGTTTCAATTTCGGCAAAACACTGTACGCAGGGTAGGGCCTTGAATTTCGCTTTCAGCAATGTTCTGGTGACCTGCAGACCATTCCGGAACAGCAGATTAGATTAACACGTAGTCATCAGGTGGTTGTTCAATTAAAGGAAAGTTTCGCAGAACGTTTTTGTGATGTGTCCGTTTTTTCCCAGCTCTTGAAATCCACAAACTTTGATGGAGTTCATTTTCTTAGCCTCAAGCTTAGTCCGTACGACAAATAAAGACCGAATCATTAGCCTGTTGAGGCTTTGTCGAACTTGCAACCGAGAAAAAAAGACTGATCTTAAAACAGTCTTCATGCTCCATCCACATGGGAATATACGACGTGCGTGTTTGGGCAGGCTAGTCGAACGGGCACAACTACCGAATACACGACAGTCGAATTGACGGCCACCTGGCCTGAACAGTTGAGGTTTGTTCGACCGTGGGAAGGACTGTAACGCTGTGACCATGTGTGGAGGGAATCCAACTGGCCAATTAGAACTCATGCAGTGCCTTGGTCTGAGCGAATCAAATCTACCTTCAGCTAGGGGAGGCCATTCGTTAACAACAACATATTTCATACTGTCATTCACGGCAGTGAAAACGACGAATTGGGTACAATTGAAGTTTTGTTGCATCGCTGACTCTATAGGAAACACGAGTCTATATATATATATAT